TTTTTTTTTTCTTAAATACATTTTCTATTTCTTTGTCTCCCGTACATGGTAACCCACACAAACACGTCGTCTGATTAAGTAGTCTCAGTACATAAGATCAGGAGGGATGTTGTCACGTAGGCGCATAGCCAGGTTACCTTGAAGTTTTTTGTTTTTTCTTTTCTCTCATCTTTTTTTCCTCTCCTTAGGGAAGGGACCCTAAGGAGAGAAGAGAAATTGCTCTTGCCTTCAAAGGATGTAGTAGGGGAGTGTTTAACCTAGACGGAGCTTCTGGGGAAGTGTAGATTGAGCTGAGCTCTGAAGGATTTGTAGGATTTAAAAGATTAGAGGGCAGGGGATGAAAGGAGGGGTATGTATGTGAGTTCGAGACAGAAAAACATCTATGAGGGCCTGTGGCAGGAGAACTTGGGATTTGAAGGACTGAAGGCAATTCAGTGTGGCTAGAGTATATAGGGATTAAGGGTAGAGTTAGGTGTGGGCCAGACCCTGCAGGACTTTTTTTTATCCTGACTTCAGGATATGGGACTGATAGGAGAGAAGATGGCTGAAGAGTTTTAAGGTGAGGATGGAGATGGAGTTTCAGCTGCATTAACAAAAAGATTACTTTAATTGCTGTGTGGGGGACAAGTTAGGAAGCTTTTGTCGTAGTTCAGGTGAGAGGTGGTGGTGACTTTGGAGTGATGTGGGAGTAGTGGATCTCAGAAGTAGACAGATTTGAGAGCTGATTAGGGGTTCACATTGACAGGACTTGGTAGTGGATGCGGAGGAGGACGGTGGAATTGTTAAGAATGTTGTCCAGGCTTCTGGTTTCAGTCTGAGTGGATGGTGGTACAACTTACGGGGATGGGAAACATAAGAGGAAATACAGGAGGAGCAGCAGGTGGTCTTTCCACCAGTCTGCATTTCCCCCTATCCATAATACTCTTATAGCTGCTCACTAAATCCTACTTCCTAATGTCCCTGCCTTTCACCTTTTTCCTTTACACTTCCCAGGATCACCACCCGAATATAGGCCTTTGTCTCTATCATTAAAATAGGCCTCAATAACTTCTTAGTCTCTGCTCCTTATCCTTACTCTCTCCGTGCTTTATTTTTTTAATGTTTATTTATTATTTTTTAAATTTAATTTATTGTCAGATTGGCTAACATACAGTGTGTAAAGCGTGCTCTTAGTTTTTGGGGTAGATTCCCATGATTCATCGTTTACATACAACACCCAGTGCTCGTCCCAACAAGTGCCCTCCTCAATGCCCATCACCCATTTTCCTCTTTCCTCCACCTCTCATCCAACCTCAGTTTGTTCTCTGTATTTGAGAGTCTCTTATTTATTATTTTTGAGAGTGCGCATGCGCACACACGGAGGGAGAGAGAGAGACAGACAGACACAGAATTTGAAGCAGGCTCCAGACTCTGAGCTGTCCGCACAGAGCCTGACGCAGGGTTGAATCCTTGAACTAACTGTGAGATCATGACCTGAGCCGAAGTCAGGATGCTTAACTGACTGAGCCACCCAGCGCCCCCTCTCTCTCCCTACTTTAATCTACATGCTTGATACCAGATTGTTTCCTCAAAACCTTTTCCTGTCTTAAACCGGCAGAATCTGAATCAGGCAGATTCTCTTTTGCTCCAGAAGTTTTGATTGCTGTCTATTATTTACAGAATAAAAGCTAAATCCCTTAAACCTGGCATTTAAGATCTTGTACAGTTTATTCCCAGTCTGTCTTTCTAGCCATCCTATTCACTGTTCCTCTACTTCAACTCTGTACCTCAGGCAGTTTACTCATTTTCCCCAAATAAGTTTTTCAAATTCTCCTATAAAAGCCTTTCTTCATGTCATTCTTCTTCCCAGTAGTGTATAGAGTATACCATCTGGTTATCTTGACTACCTAATTTAATCTCTTGAGTTCCAGTTCAAGCTTTCCTCTGCTGGGATGCCTTCCTGACGTTTGAGCACACATTTATTTCGTTAGTCTTGTTAACTTCTTTTTTTTTTTTTTTAATTTTTTAAAGTGTTTTTATTTTTGACAGAGAGAGAGAGACAGAGAGAGAGAGGGAGACACAGAATTCGAAGCAGGCTCCAGGCTCCGAGCTGTCAGCATAGAGCCCGATGCGGGGCTCAAACTCACGGACTGTGAGACCATGACCTGAGCCAAAGTTGGACGCTCAACCGACTGAGCCACCCAGGCACCCCAGTCTTGTTAAACTTCTTACTAATTTTCATACCATTTCATTGGCACTTTGCCTTTATAATGTTTTTGGTTTATTCATTTGTGAAATATTATTATATGCTTGTAATAATATTCTTGTGTGTATATTTATAATTTATCACACTATTAAGTGCTAGCTTTGTTCTAGGCAGTGTGCTGGGTAGATGCTAAAAAAATTAAAATGGGCAAAAATTCTGAAACCACTTGATTAGAATACAAGTTTCTAATACAGAAATTCCAGGGAATTTTCCAAATTATTTTGGTTTGGATGAAAATCACCTACTCATACTGGTTAGTAGCCCTTAACCTATGGAGTACCTGCTGTGTACACTCCTGATAATGTATAAAGTACTCAGTTAACAGGGAGGGAAGGAAAACAGTCAAGCTTGTTTCCTTGTGGAAGTTTCATCCAGCTCTGACACTTTTCCCTTACAGTTCCCTGATAGAGCAACAATGGACCAGAAAATATTATCTCTAGCAGGAGAAAAAACAGCAGACAAACTGCAGGAATTGCTTCAGGCTGTGAAAGAAGATGATGTAAGTATTAAGCATGTTCTGCTATAAAGCAAATGTCAAGCATGATGACAAATTCAAAGAACATGTTAGAAAAATTACTCTGCCACTTTACCTCCTACTCACCTTAGGAAACAAGGGTTTTTTGATAAATGTTATAAAATGGGGAGAGGAAGAAAATAGACAATCGAAGGGCATTTGTATACAACTATATAGCATTTAAGTATTTATGCAATTATATATAAATATATACACACACATACAACACATATGTACATACATACAAATTAGGGTACTTTTAAGGTTATTAGAACAATCCTCCTTGAAGGTAATGTCCTGATTATAGTTTTTGATGTGACATTTTGCCTACTGATGCTTCTTTATTAATATTTTCCCCTAAAAAAGATAAATTCATAAGCAGTACAATATTTTGAAATTCTTTTTTTTTTTTTTTAATTTTCTAACATTTATTCATTTTTGAGAGTGAGAGAGACAGAGTACGAGCGGGGGAGGGGCAGAGAGAGAGGGAGACACAGAATCCAAAGCAGGCTCCAGGTTCTGAGCTGTCAGCACAGGGCCCAATGCGGGGCTTGAATTCATGGACTGCGAGATCATGACCTGAGCTGAAGTCGGATGTTTAACCGACTGAGCCACCCAGGCGCTCCAAATATTTTGAGATTCTTATGTGAATCTTCTTACTCTCCTGATACACTTCTCCTTTTTGCATAATATGTGTTCTTAGCTTATTCATATTTGTGTATGGAAAGGAATCCCTCCTTAACATTAACCTTAAATATTAAGTATATATGTCTAAACGAGTTAAGACTTTGCATATTATGTTTTTAAAGGAATTTTTGCATGCCTGTGTTGTGGTACATTGTAATTTCTATTAAAATGTGACACTAATTGGGAATTGAGGTAGGGGTGGGCTCTGTTTTATTTTTTTTAATTAACAAAAGCAGGACTGCTTTTGTAGCAGTTTTTTGAGACAAGCCATTACATGAGTTGCAGCTTGAGTTATTCTATAGACATTAAGATTTGGTTAAAACCAACTTTTAATTAGTTTATTGATTTAGAACTTACGTTTTATATGCTTTTGAACTTGAAGAGGCCTTAACCTTAACCATAATAAGCAAAAATAAGAACTAGAACAAAATTCATGATATAAATAGATGCTGTGAATTACTTCTCTGATTCTTGCTTATCCCTAGAAAAGATCTCTATCTCTTGGCTTTTGTAAAGATGAAATGAGTTAATGCATGTAAACCATCTAGTAGACACTGAATAATTTTTTTTTTTAATGTTTATTTATGAGAGAGAAGGAGAGACACAGTGTGTGAGCGGGGCAGGGGCAGAGAGAGGGAGACACAGAATCCGAAATAGGCTCCAGGCTCCGAGCTGTCAGCACAGAGCCCGATGCGGGGCTCGAACTCATGAACCATGAGATCATAACCTGAGCTGAAGTCGGACGCTCAACCGACTGAGGCACCCCGTGCTGAATAATTGTTAGCAAAATTCCTTCACTGACACGGACACAGTCTTCTGAACATTTCTCTTTTGTTAACATTTTCCTTAAAAGTTTAATACCTCAAACTGGACAAAATTTCTCTTATTTTCCCATTAATGCAGAATCACCTTTTTGGCCATAATATCGTACTGTTGTCTCATTGCTTTTACAAGCAACTAAAATCCCAACTCATTTTTGCGGATGTTGGTATTAGGCTAATTTTCTTCATCTCTGAATTTTTGTAGTTAGTTTTTAGAACCCACATATAAAATTATATACTTATATCTTAATTATCTTTTAAAATTAATTGCATTTTGCTCTATCAAGATCTTCTTGTATCTTGATTCTGTTGACCAGTGTAGTAGTCATCTTTTTATATCCTCTACAGATTTATTAAGTATTCCAGCAATATATACATTCAGTTTATTTAATGTCCATAGAAGATATGCTTAGAGTAAAAAATTACAAAACACATAAAGAAGTCCATGACAAGAGGGGCACCTGGGTGGCTCAGTTGGTTAAGTGTCTGACTCTCAGTTTTGGCTCAGGTCATGATCTCATGATTTTGTGAGTTTGAGTCCTTCATCAGGCTCTGTGCTGACAGTATGGTGCCTGCTTGGGATTTTCTCCCTATTCCTCTCTCTCTGCCCCTCCACCGCTCGTGCTATCTTTGTCTCTCTCAAAAAAAAAAAAAAAAAAAAAAAAAAAAAAAAGTCCATGACAAGAAAGACTGACATATCCAGCAATGGGAAAATTCACATTGAAGGATTTAGAGAATATAGGGGAATCTAAAAGGTACTCTAGAGTACACAAATATTCGGGGTGCCTAGGTGGCATTCAACTCTTGATTTTAGCTCAGGTCATGATCCCCCAGGGTCATGGGATTGAGCCCCATGTCATGGGCTCACACTCAGTGCAGAACCTGTTTAAGATTTCTCTCTCTCCCTGCCCCCCCCTCCACTCACACATTCTCTCTAAAATAAAAAATATATATATTTCATGTAAATATTTAATATGATTTTTAATATACTCAAATATGTAAATGAAGAAATAGAATCCATAAAATAAGAAGGGATAGATTTGGAAAACAGAAAACTTCTAGAAATGGATACCTTGACAGTTAGCAGTGGACTAAACACTGCTAAAGAGGAAATTAGTGAAGTGGATTACAGACCTGGGGATACCTCAACAAAGCAAAGATTGTAAAGAGATGGAAAATACGAATAGTATTTAAAATATGTGGAGAATACTTTAATAAAAGAATGTATCTTTGGGGCCGGCTGACTTAGTTGGTGGAGCCTGTGACTTGATCTCAGGGTTGTGAGTTTAAGCTCCACATATGGTGTAGAGATTGCTTAAAAAAAAAAAAAAATTTTTTTTTTTTTTTTTGGGTTGAAAGAGGGCAGGTGAGTGAGGGGCAAAGAGAGAACAAATCCCACAAGGGGCAGAGAGAAAGAAGTGGGGCTTACCTGTGGCTTATGTTTTACTTGAAGCAGGGCTTGAGCTCACCTGATGTGGAACTCAAACTCATGAACTGTGAGATAATCACCTCAGCCAAAGTCAGATGCTTAATGACTGAGCCACCAGGCACCCAAAAAATAAAATATTATTACAATTTTTTTTTAAGTTTATTATTTTGAGAGCATGTGAGCAGGGGAGGGACAGAGACAGAAGGGAGGGAGAGAATCCCAAGCAGGCTCTGCACAACCTGACATAAGGACTACGAACTACTCCTGGTCATTGAGACTGACCTGAGCTGAAATCAAATCAAGAGTCAGACGTTTAACTGACTGAGGCACGTAGGCCTCCCCCCTGTCCAAAACCAAAATCTTAAAGAAAAAAAAAAAAAAGCAGTATATATATATATATATATATATATATATATATCTTTTTAAATTATTTTTTTTTTCAACGTTTATTTATTTTTGGGACAGAGAGAGACAGAGCATGAACGGGGGAGGGGCAGAGAGAGAGGGAGACACAGAATCGGAAACAGGCTCCAGGCTCTGAGCCATCAGCCCAGAGGCCTGACGCTGGGGCTCAACCAAGGACTGGCGAGATCGTGACCTGGCTGAAGTCGGACGCTTAACCGACTGCGCCACCCAGGCGCCCCTATATGTATCTTTTTAAACGTGTAGATTTGTGTCATGTACTAAAGCACAAAGAAAACATTGATAGGTCTCATAAGGTAGAAATATATAAACCACCCTCTTTGGTCACAATTCAGTAAAACTAGAAATCAGAAATGAAATAAATACAAACGGATTTTCTACTGGGAAATAAAATACCTTTTAAACAATTTTTGGGTAAAAAGGGATATGACAACAGAAATTATAGGATTTCTAAAAAAATAATGAAAATACTACATATCAGAATCCACGGAATACTTTTAAAAATCACCTAAGTCAATTAAAAGGAAATAAATTATCAAAAAGCAGTAAACAAGAGCACAAAGAAAGTACTAAAATAAAAATGGAAACTAATCAAGTAGATCAAATTATTTCTACATCAAAATCCTGATTCCTTGAAAAATTAGACAAAACCATTGACTAATCAAGAAAACAATGTGGTAAACCCAAATGTACAAAATAAGAAATGAGAAGGGGGAAATAACTATTAATAAAGAGAGAATGTCAAAAAATAGTAAGCGACTACTTCATACATATCTATGCAAATAAATTTGAAAATCTAGAGGAAATGGATAATTAAGAATATACAGTTTAATAAAATTGACCCAATTTGAGATGGAAAGCTTAACTGGAGCCAATTTCCATAGAAGGAAGAGTTAATCAAGCAGTTAAGTCACACAAAAATACCAGGCCCAGATAATTTCACAGGGGACTTCTACCAAACATAGAAATCGGAAGTTAGAGATAGTCTCAGTGCTACATAATTTGTTTGATAGCATATATAATACATAAGGATATGTACTACATAAGGAAAACTTGTAGATGCTTTTATAAAGCGTAACACTGAACCCTAAATTTGATAAAGATAGCATATTTTCACTTACGAATATTGATGCAAAAACCTTAAATTAAATACTAGAGGACAGAGTCTAATACCAGATTTAAAAAAAAATACACCATGACCAAATGGAGTTTATACCAAGAATACAAGGTTGGTTCAGTAATAGAAAGTATATTACCACAAAGACCATGTGATTATCTTCAGAAATTAGAGACAGCCTTTGAGAAAATCCAGCACTCATTCCTAGTAAAAACTCTTGAGAAAATAGGAGTGGGTGGCTTTTTCCTTAATAAGATAAAATACATGTATAGATCTGAAAGTCAGCATCCTGTTTTTCTTTTTTTTCTTTTTAAGTTTTTATTTAAATTTCAGTTAGTTAACATACAGTGCAATATTGGTTTCTGGAGAATTCAAGTTAGCATCTTAATGGGAAACCCTGGAGGCATTTATGCTAAGATCAGGCACCAGGCTGTATGCCTACTCTCTCCATCACTATTTAACATTGTTCTGGTCTGTTAGCCAATGCAATTAGTCTAGAGAAAACAAT